GCCACGTCAGCTGCCACGTCATCCGCAGGAGGAAGAATCCTGTGTTTTGCGGCGAAGGTACAGCCGCAGATCTGAGGCGTACAAAATGTTTTGGCTAGATCGAAGCCATTTGGAGTCCGTTTTTGGTGATGAGTGTAGGATCTTGACCTTCAACTGAGAGTAGATCCACTATTGCAGCCAAAGTAGATGTATCTGCTGAAAAGCCCCTCCCAATCATTTTCTCCGCAAGTATATTTGCTTCAGTGTAGTCATTTGCTTTAAGGAATCCACGAACCATAACATTGTAAGTTGCTTGATTAGGCATACAACCCGTCCCTTCCATTGTCACAAGTAAATCATTTGCCTCACCCAATAGCCCTTGTTCACAAAATCCACCTATCATCATAGTAAAAGTGCGAACATCAGGCTGCAAACCTTTAGCAGAAAGTTTACCAAATAGATTCTTTGCCATCTCAAGCTTCCCATCTTTGCAAAATCTATCAATTAAAATATTGTGCATAGTAATATCAGGATTTATGCCACTGCATTCTAGCTCCAGAAACAACAACAATGCTTCATCAATATGGCCATTCTTGGATAATCCATCCAGTAATACACAATAAGTATAAAAATCTGGACGCTGACCCTTAGCTTGCATGTCATTCAGAAGTCCTCGAGCAGTAAAACACCTACCAACCCCAAACAATCCCCGCAACATAATATTTTAAGTATCAATTGTGGGTTTCAATCCTTTACAAGGCATTTCACAGAAAAGATTGATGGCCTCTTCAAATTTCATATTCTTGCAACATCCATTGATCAAAATGTTATAGCTTAGAGTGCTAGGCTTGATGCCCTTATCCACCATGGAATGAAAAACTTCTATTGCTCTATCCATGTGGCCTAGCAAACAATAACCATCCATGAGTGTACCATATTTGACTGCATTGGGACCAACACCTCTTTGGACCATGACTTCAAGAACAACCTCTGTTTCTTTTGCCATGCCTTCTTTGCAAAGTGCATCTATTAGTGTAGTAAATGTCAGAACATCCGGAAAAACATTCTTGTCTATCATGTCTCTCAACATTCTTTTTGCTTCCTCCCATCGGCCTAAATTACATAATCCATGAATCAAAGTGCTGTAAGTGATCACGTCTAGTGCAACATCCTGCTGGATCATTTCCACTAAGAGGCTCAAAGCATCATCCACATTTATGTCCTTGCAAAGACTGTCAATAATTGTGTTATACATCACAACATTAGGCTTATACTTCTATTTTTGCATACTTCTAAGAATCCCTATGGTAGTTGTAGTATTTCCCGTCTTGGAAAGCCCATTTATAATAGTACCATAAATAACGTCATTAGATTTGATTTCTCCCTCTTTTACCAATTTATTGAACAATTCCATGGCCTTGCTAGTCTGGTCTTGTAAAATGAACCCATTCATCAGAGTGCCGAAAGTATATATAGATGGTACATAACCACGTTTGAAGAAGCTAGCTAAGACAGAAAACCCATAATCCACTTGATTCAAGTGGCAAAGGCAATTAATTACAATACTGAGGGTATATTCATTAGTCCAAATACCCAATAAGCACCTCTTTTGAAACAGAGAAATAACCGTGGAATAATGCTTTATTTTGACAATACCAGTTAACAGTTGAGTGAAGTCGATAACAGAAGGTAGGGTTGCATTCGGACCATCCGATGGAACAAACTAAGAGCATCATTGAGTTTATCAAAACCCAATTTGGATTTCTTTAACAATAATTTCTGTAGTTGTCTCCGATCAGGAGGGTTAGGGTTAGGGTTTGTTGAAATGTGGGTATGAATTGATGTTGACAAGAATGGATTAAACTCTAACTTGAAGTTGAGCGAGGGAAGAAGAGTGGTACCTTTTCGATAATTGTGAGCTAATCTTCGTCCACTACAAGAATTCACACATTTGCCGACCACTTTTGCCGACCAAAAAAATTTTGGTCGCAAAAAAATGACATTTGGCGACCAAATATTAATTAGTCGCGAATGATCATTATTTTTGGCGACCAAATATTATTGGTCGCAGAAGGTTACATTTTGGCGACCAAAAAAAGAGTTGGCCACAGAAAATGGTATGCTTTTGCCGATCAACTACAAATTTGGTCGCGGAAGGTCCAGTATTTTTTGGCGACCACAAATTTGGTCGCCAAAAACTTATTCTCAGCAACCAAAAAAAATTAGTCCCCAAATTTGTATTTTTAGCGACTAATATGGTCTTTTGGTCGCCAAAAGTTTGGTCAACTAAAAAAATATGTGCTTTTCAATAAAAAAATATTTGTATTTGTGCTTAAAAATAAAATCAATAAAAAATAGAACAAAGACTAATCTGTATTTGTGCTTTTAAAAATAAAGAATATCAATAAAAGACTAATCTGTATTTAAAGATAAAATAGAAAATCAATAAAAAATAATAACTAATCTATAAATAACATCAATAGAACAAAGACTGATCTGTATTTAAAAATAAAGAACATCAATAAAAATATTTTTCTTGTTTAAAAATAAAATAAAATCTGTATTTGTGCTTTCCAACTAGGCAAAGAGCGGGACTCCACTTAAATTTTGAAAATTTCCGCCAAAACAAAAATTTTGAAACAAGAAACAGAGCGGACGTGGTAAAACATAAATTTTGAAAAATTTGACTACACTTAAATTTTGAAAATTTCCGCCAAAACATAAAATCTGTCTCAGGCAAAACCACCACCACCACCACCAATCCATCTTCAACTCTCCATCCTCCTTACTTACAGGTCCTCTCATTCTCTCTCTCTCTCTCTCTCTCTCTCTAACAATGGCGGACGTGGTTCAGTACAAGCTCGAGCGCATGGTGGACGAGCTCGACGACCTCGAGCGCCGAGGACATCTAATTGCGACGCAAGATTGTAGAGATTGTGAAGCAGAGAAGGAAGTTCGAGTACAGGCTCAAGCGTCCGAGCCCTCTCAAGCAAGACTTCATAGCCTACATAGACTACGAGAAGCAGCTTAAAGCTCTCCGACTACTCCGTAAGTTATTTAATTTATTTTCAGTGTTGTTTTTATTTATTTAAATCAGATTTTAATTTTGTTTTTGTAACAAAATAAAATCTGTTTTTATTTATTTATTTTTATTTCGAGTTTGATTTTTGTAATCAAACAATTTCTCTCCTTTTCTTTATTTCTTTAAATTCTATTTGTTGTTGTGTACACAATAGAATTAAATCTTTTAAATACAGTGAAGATTGTCCAACATAACCATCCATGAGTGTACCATATTTGACTGCATTGGGACCAACACCTCTTTGGACCATGACTTCAAGAACAACCTCTATTTCTTTTGCCATGCCTTCTTTGCAAAGTGCATCTATTAGTGTAGTAAATGTCAGAACATCCGGAAAAACATTCTTGTCTATTATGTCTCTCAACATTCTTTTTGCTTCCTCCCATCGGCCTAAATTACATAATCCATGAATCAAAGTGCTGTAAGTGATCACGTCTAGTGCAACATCCTGCTGGATCATTTCCACTAAGAGGCTCAAAGCATCATCCACATTTATGTCCTTGCAAAGACTGTCAATAATTGTGTTATACATCACAACATTAGGCTTATACTTCTATTTTTGCATACTTCTAAGAATCCCTATGGTAGTTGTAGTATTTCCCGTCTTGGAAAGCCCATTTATAATAGTACCATAAATAACGTCATTAGATTTGATTTCTCCCTCTTTTACCAATTTATTGAACAATTCCATGGCCTTGCTAGTCTGGTCTTGTAAAATGAACCCATTCATCAGAGTGCCAAAAGTATATATAGATGGTACATAACCACGTTTGAAGAAGCTAGCTAAGACAGAAAACCCATAATCCACTTGATTCAAGTGGCAAAGGCAATTAATTACAATAGTGAGGGTATATTCATTAGTCCAAATACCCAATAAGCACATCTTTTGAAACAGAGAAATAACCATGGAATAATGCTTCATTTTGACAATACTAGTTAACAGTTGAGTGAAGTCGATAACATAAGGTAGGGTTGCATTTGGACCATCCGATGGAACAAACTAAGAGCATCATCGAGTTTATCAAAACCCAATTTGGATTTCTCTAACAATAATTTCTGTAGTTGTCTCCGATCAGGAGGGTTAGGGTTAGGGTTTGTTGAAATGTGGGTATGAATTGATGTTGACAACAATGGATTAAACTCTAACTTGAAGTTGAGCGAGGGAAGAAGAGTGGTACCTTTTCGATAATTGTGAGCTAAGAATCAAAGAAGCAGTAGAGATTTCTTGCATCTTCCTCTCTCATAAACACTTCTTTTGGTACGATTGCGAGTGAGTCACTGATATGATCACAGATTCATCAGTTTACTACAAAGCTTTTAATTTCAAATTTACAGCATCACCCACAAGACATTTGTAGTTAAATTTTTAATAAAAATTTTGAGGTTTTTAGTATTTTTAATTTTTTCAATGGCCTTGTTTGAAAAGTTTTATTTTAATTGATTATTTAGTTTTTTTTATTATGCTAATCTAGTTTGAATAGTTATGTTTAGGAAAAAAAAAATTATAATTAATTTGATAATTATGAAAGAAAAAAAATAAAATAATTATAAATTAATGTAACATTTTATCTTATTAACTATTTTAATTTATTTTATTTTTTAATGAATTATTTTAGCCAGTCATCTACCCATACACCCCTTCTCTCCATTTAACTTAATTTTAAAATTGATTAAAATTTTGATTTGATATATATTATGGCAATCCTTCCATTAAATTTTTATCAAAATATTTTAAAAAATTTATTTTCATCCCAAATTTTTTTCGTCAACTTTTATTTTTTAAAAAATCATTCCCAATACTTCTTTTTAAATTGTCACTAAATTTTAATTTGACGAAGAATATGATAAATTTCCAAGTTGATGAAAAAAAATGCTTCCCCTTAATTTGATAAACATTTAATAAAAAGGATTTGAAATGATTTTTGAACATTTTTTTATTAAATTTAAATTGGATTGAAGAGAAAAAGATAAAGAATTAAAAATGCTCTTCCTTAACCAAACAAGTGATATGGAACAAAAGGAATTTCAAATCACCCAATCCAAACAGATTATTTCTTTCTTTCTTTTTTTTTAGGAGGGATAAAGAGGATTGAAAAAAATAATTCTTATTTTAAATTGTTTTCAAGAAGAAAAAAAATTTACCATTTGATTGACTTTTCAAATTTTATTTATTTATTTTTTTAAATTTAAAACTAGTTCTGCAAAAAGAAATCAATTTTTTTTAAAAAAAAAATCCTTATTATTTTTATATGATTTCTCTTTTTTTAGGGATTTTTTTTTTAAAAAAATAAAAATATATTTAATTTTGTCAAACAAATTTCTAGTTTTTCATAAGAAAATCGTCCAAAAACCAACTTGTGAAATTTCAACCAAAAGAGTGAGTACGAAAATCTATCTCAGAAGGAAAGACTTTAAAAAGAATGTAAATTCTAGCAATAAAATAGACTTAGGCAGTGGCATTGAGAAAATGAGAGAAGAAAAAAGAACAGTTAAACACAAAATGCATATTTGCCAAACAAGTTCCTTTCTGTATCAACTTTTATTTATTTTGTTTTCAAAAGCAAGTACTAGTTTTCATATACAATACCAAATGTTGAGGTTTCAAAGCTTTGCCGATCAACATAAACATTCATATATTCCTTGTATTACATGTCATATTGCATTCACAAACAACCTGTGTATATTAATATAAATACAATTAGAAATGAAAGACGACTTCCAACAATCAGACTACCACCACCAGTAGTATATGTGACCTCTGATTCCATCAGTAGTTCTCCCCCGGCTCCCCTCTCTTGCAGCGGCCTTGTTGATCTGTAGCCTAGAAGAGGTAATGCAAAAAAAAATTTATTCTCATTTAGGAACAAGTTATTTTAGTAACCTTTTAATTTTTTACGAAAAAATGTACAGAAAAGTAAAGAGAATGGCGTGGCAATTTATAACAATTTTTTGACTTTTTTTTGGCTAAAATGGCCAGAAAGTAACCATTGACAATGGATACCATACAAGCACTGATTTGTGGCCAAAGATCTCATGCTAAAGTAAAACTTATAAACTAAGTGACACACATTTTTCCTTTAGTTTAATCATAATGGAGAAATCACATAAACCATTAGCAGCATTTCATTAAAACAAGGGACTAGGAATACATCAAGGCACATTCCAAGCCACACACAAAATGCAATTGGGGGATTTAACATATTGATTTGCAGTGAGCACACCATCAATATTAGTACAAGAGTGTAGTTGAGACTTTGGAAGTTAAATGGCAGCTAATTCGTACTTTAATTTTTTTCATATTGAATTAATTTAGTCCAATTGATAATAGTTATTGAGAAATTGGGCAAAAATCAATAGCAAAATTGTCCATTCAAAAGGGAATAGACCATTTCAAATTAGATACCAGTTCCTCAGTCACTCTAAGGAGAGTAAATTCACATTCTTGTTTCCTTTATCTTAGTCTAATTTCTAGGGAGATGTTATTAATTGGACTAAAAATTGGCACTGAAAAATTCAAGGGTAAAATTGATACAATTAGAACTACAATGACCATATTGACACAAGAGGGACTAGAGGGTTTTTTTTTTTTTGGAAAGCACCTAATAGGATGAAACTGGTGTTACATTAGGACATTTAGGACCACCTATCACAACTTTATCTATGGACCTAGTGCTGAAATAGAGGTAAATTTAATATAATTAAAGCCTCTCAAGCTTTGTGCAAATCTGAGAGAAACATCAAACCAACCATTATTGTAACCAATCCAATTGATTACAGCAGTTGTGTCTCCTCCAACACCACATGCTAAAATTCCGGAGACATTTAATCTTCTACAACCACTCGAACGGCCAAGTTTCGCTATTGACAACCATTGCCCAAGAATGCAATCTCTACATGTGTCACTGGTTCTCATCGGTCCCAAATTACTAAGGAAATAAGCACTAATATAGAACTTCAATCCCTCGCAAAAGAATCTATTAGAATATGCAAAATGTGAATAAAAATAATGCAAAGGGATGTACTAAAGAATATAAGAATAGACAACATGTGATAAACATTTTGCAAAGTTCGGTGGCAACAAGTCCCAGATTAGAAATTACAGTTAACTAAGCAACCACCCAGAGAATAAGACAAGTGAATGAGTGAAGGGAAAATATATTTGATCAATGCTTTCCACAGGAAATAACAAATGGTTATGGCCTCAAATATAATAGTCAGAAGGTAGGAGAACATATTATTGCTATATAAATATAAATATAAACAAGACTTTTGCTTAATAATAGGTTATATTTTTAGTATATATGTAGCATTACCTTCACAACTTAAGAAATTACTCAATCTCATGCATTCCATGACTATCCTTTGGGAAGAACTTCTTTATCACGTCTTGGAGAGTGGGATCCTGTCCTCTAGTTGAGATTAGATCTACAATCAAGGAAGAAGTAGATGCATCAGGTGAAAATCCCTTTTGAAGCATTTTCTCAAGAAGTACCAACACCTCATAGCACTTTTGTTGTCCAAGAAATCCTCCTATGATAGTGTTGTAATTGACATCATTTGGCAAACCACTATTTTTTTCCATTTTCACGAACAACTCTTTAGCTTCATCCAGTAGGCCTTCTTCACAAAGACCTTGTATCATCCTAGTGCATGCCTTGACATCAGGATGTAACCCACTGGAAGAAAGTTTATTCACTACAAGAAATAAGGGTTTTTGCAATGTTTTTTTAATGGCGTTTTCTGAAACGTCATTTTTATTAATATTTAGCGACGTCGCATATTTATTTAATTAAAACCACACCGTTTTATGATCAAAGGCGTTTAAAAGCGCCTCCAAATGCGGTACGTCACACGCGCCTATTTTGAATCTGGGCATAAAGCCTGTGTAATCTCTCTCTCTCAATCCTCTCTAAACCCTTATTTTGAATCTCACATTCAAATCTCACAGATTCACCGATTTCGAAGCTCCACCTCCATTACCATCTACACGGGCGAGGTAGCGAGATTCATCGATTCACTGATTTCAAATCGATCTGCACTGCCACCGCGATTTCGATTCAGATTGGTCTGCACTGCCACCCTGATTTTGATTCTCTCTCTAGATCTCTCTCTCTCTCTCTCTCTCTCTCTCACAGAGATTCATCTTTGATTTCATCTCAGAGAGATTTCGATGTCTCTCTCTCTCTCTCTCTCGATTTCAAAGCTCCACCGCCACCACCATTTATGCAAGCTTCCATGGCTTAGCACCTCATCTTCTTATCTCTTCCACTTCTCTAGATCTCTCTCTCTCTCTCTCACAGAGATTCATCTTTGATTTCATCTCAGAGAGATTTCGATGTCTCTCTCTCTCTCTCTCTCTCTCTCTCTCTCGATTTCAAAGCTCCACCGCCACCACCATTTATGCAAGCTTCCATGGCTTAGCACCTCATCTCCTTATCTCTTCCACTTTGTATATACATATACATATATGTATATTTATCGATTCTCTCATGTACATACATGTATCTGTATAGACACCGATCGATAATAGAGCAGAGCTTCTTCGATTTGATCTATTTTCTACACTGCCCAGGCCTCGCCGAGACATTCCTCGACATTTTGCTCTCCTCAGTCCCGATTTGGCTCGCTGTCATGATCGGCCTTGTTATTGGCTGGTCCTGGTGCCCTAGATGGACCGATCTGCTCTATCTCAGTCTCCGCTTCAAGCTCTGGTTCGCCTAGACCGCACTGCCGGGGGGCTTGGAGGTTCTGGCTTGCCTTCACGGCATATTCGGTTGGTCGGAGACTTTGGTCCAGGTTGATTTGGAAGGGAAATGACGGTTCTCCGGCCGTGACAGCACAGCGGGTCGAAAATGGCGGTGACGTCAGGTGAGAACGGTTTTGAAATTTGGTTTTTCATTTATCGAATAGTTTATTAATGACTTTATTTATATATGCATATGTGTTTGTGTATCTATTATGAGAATTAATTTAGGGTTTTTGATTAAGGCTTCTTGGTGATTGTATGCAATTTGATGCCTTGAATTGATAAGGGACTGTGCTCTAAAACCTTATTTGTTAATAATGCAACTAAATCTATGATAATTATGTGATTAGGGCTTTTATGTTTCTAAGCTTGGCATGAATTTATTTTTAAAGTATGTAGGGAACAGTGTGGTCTATGGTGTGTGGCTGTTATACGCAGTTATGTCATTGAAATAGTTGGAATTTTTGGATAATGTGTGTCGGTTTGTGGCATCCGTAGTTAAGGTAACAATTTTGTCGTGGAGTTACTGGTTTCTTAGTATGCCCTTGGATTTTCTGTTTTATGTATAGAACAATGTAGTTGACGTATTGATTTATGATTGTGTTGCCGACATTCGTCATTGGTTACGTTGATAGTTGATATAGTGGTCCACTTAACATGTTGCAATGCTGGCGCTAGATGAGTCACAGAGTTTGCTAATTTTACTTCTATTGGTTAATATATTTTGGAAAAATTTTGTTTTTTCCAGTCGGGGTTTTGTGTCTTTTTGAGTTCTTGGCAGCCCTTCACATGTTAGGTTTATGTGTACGGTTATTTTAGTAATCCAGTGGCGATATGCCACTGACAATGAGGTTACTCCATTTATAACGATATGGTATCTTTGAAAATCCAAACATGTGGAATGACACTTGGTATTATTTAAAAATAAAAAATTGAGGACTAATCCACTAGAAGGAAATTGCCAATTATCACATCTTGGTTGTGTTTGAAAATTTAAACTATATTGAACCACAAAGTGGAGGGTCACTTCATTATGTTGTGGTTGCAAAGTTTCGAAAGTGTCTCCAAGTCATGTTTTCTCACTAATTAGTATTGACAGAAATAGATGGTTAGGGCACCTAACTTAATCTTTACGAAGTCTAGTTAGGGATATATAAAACATTGACTTTGTGGTTTAGGGAGATTGAGGTTGTCTATATTTGTAAGAAGCTACTGCATGCATGTTAGAAGACATTTACCTAAGCCTATCATTTTGGTAACTTTCTTAAGTTAGATTAGGAAACAGGGGATTGCTGTGTCCTAAAAAAATTATATATATATATATATTATTATTTGGATTACCACCAGTTATGTTTATAAACTTTTGAACCTTAACTTACTGGACATGTCACCATATTTTGACTTACTTTTTTTAGCAGGCTTAACACAGGAACCTCACAGGTAGCGAATGTTGTGGTAGAGAAAGATCTAGAACACCTATTGCAACTTATTAAAAACAAGGGTGGGAAAATGGAGTGGCAGAGTATGGTGGGACACTCTACCTCAAACTTGACATACCAAGCTTGGCACCATGATCTTGGGTACAATTTGACCTTGACTTTGTAAGATTTGTATTTTCTGTGTGCTGGAGAAATCTGTGGGAATTACTTACATGGATTTTGACCTTTGTTTGATGCATGTATTGTCTTTCAAGTGCTGGAAAAGTGGGCCCAAGTGCTCGTTCAGAAGTGCATCTGTAGACACCCCATTTTTGACCGACCTTAAGACTCAGACGTCCATGTATTGTCTTTCAAGTGCTGGAAAAGTGGGCCCAAGTCTTGGCATTTGCATTGTAGTTTAATTAGAGTTTTTCATTAGTAATAGGAGACATAAATTCTAAAGAAGCAAAATTCTCATATTAAATATGAATTGACTTGGATATGGATATGGGATAATAATCACAATTCACACATGCATCCATTTTCTTTTTCTATGGAAAACTGGATGGATTACACAGCTTGACTAATTAAACAATAATAGATTCTTTAAAAGCTTTCCGTTGGTTACAGGAATATACTAAGATGAGGGAAAATCCTTTAGTTGAGCAGGAAATGCTTATGCTTCTTTCTTTCTCATTGTAACAACTTGATTCCAAAGTTTTACCGTTTTTAGCTTAGATGGGTTGTGGGATACATACCCATGTAGCTTTGCTCCTTATATTGGTGTGTGGCTCCTTGTTATTAGATATTTAGACCTTCACTTTTTGTCAATTTGAAATTGTAGAATATAACAGAAGCTTGCATAGAGCCATCTGGTTAAATGATACCTGATGACTGTCTTAATTTTTATGTATACGTAGTATTTTCTGGAGACTTAAGAATATTTTTGACTTAATTTTCTGAAACCTGTCCTAATTGCAAGATCTTGTTAGAATTCAAGTCTTCCTTCCCATTTTCATTGTTGGTTAAAATTTGTATGCATCAAAACCTAACAGTGAATCTTGTTCATCAGACGGGCCCAATAGTGTACCGTAGCAGAGCCGTTTTTGAGGATGCAACTCCGGAGATGGTTAGAGATTTTTTCTGGGACGATGAGTTTCGCACTAAATGGGACACCATGCTTGCATACTTCAAAATATTGAAGGAATATTCTCACACAGGGACAATGATTGTGCAATGCATAAAAAAGGTATTTCTGAATACATGCATTTTGCATCTATATGGATGAGTTTTATCTTCAATTGCTCTTGTTCTGACAATGTATGGTTTGATACCTTGATTTGCTCATTTGTGCAGTTCCCCTTTTTCTGCAATGATCGCGAATATATCATTGGTCGAAGAATATGGGAAGCTGGAAATACATATTATTGCGTGACAAAGGTAATAATTTATCAAATTGTTCTTAAGTTCTTTTAGCATCTTGCTCTACTCTATGCAGTTGTTTCCCCCACTGAATGAGTTGCCGTATATATATCTATGTATTCATCATAATGTATAGCTCTTCGTTTCTCATCAAACACAATGGAAAGAATGAGAAAACTGTAGAACTTGACATCAATATTTTTGTTATGACAATTAAAATGATAATTACTAGGGTACATACTCGATGAACATTCTTTGCCTGTTTTATTTTTTTTCATTTGTTTGTTAGATTTTATTTTTATTTTTATTTTTATTTTTATTTTTTGGTTGATGCAACTCACAGTTTTTTTTCTTTTGTGTGTGTGTGTGTGTGTGTGTGTGTGTGTGTGTTGGCAATAAGACACGGAAATATCTTCCAACTTCTTGCTTTTCTTTGGAAAATCAAATTTCTTTCAAATGTTTGTGTATATTGGCTGTGTTGGTGTATGGACAATAGCTTTTTTTCATTTTTTTTCCCCAGATTTTTGTACTCCTCCTTGGCAGCAAACGAAGAACAAATTGATCTTGTCCAGATTTTTTTTTTCTTTCCAGATTTCTGTTCTGTCCAGATTTCTTCTTCCTTTTTCTTGAACTCCATTTTTTTTTTTGCTGATATATATTTTATCTTTTATATTTTTTTCCCCACGACCACTGGAATTTCATGCAACTTGCGTCTAGAGCCTTATCTGTTAAGGGGGCTATAATGGCTTTTAGAGCATCAAAGCCTACTATTGTTGCTGATGTAGATGGATTCTTCAGCATAAAAAGTAAAATGCTGGTGAGTTTACTTTCTAGTTCTGTAACGCCCTCAAAATTAACCCATTATATATATCATTGACATTCATTATTTAAAGAAGACAATCTATTAATTCATTCATCAAAGTATTACAAAATAAAGCATTACATGTATCATCGAATAAAATGCCCTACAGGCTTGCATCTTTCCAAGCCACACTTGGATACAAAAATATGAGTTCTAACTCAATACAAGAAAAGCCCTAGGCTTGAATGTTTACATGTACTAACAATTTAAGACAGTTAACTAAAAGTAGTCTTCTTCAATCCAGAAGCCAAACCCTCCCAAGCTAATTCCTTGGAGGTAGTTTATCACCTGAACCTGAAAATGATGTTCCCATAAAGGGTGAGCCACAGCCCAGTAGAAATATACTAAACCACATATAAGCAATGAATAAAACAATAGCATTCAACAGATGGTTAACCAAGATAAACAATTACTTCAGTTTATAGTCTCATGACACTATTGTCTAAGACACGTTTTACTTTCCAACTTTATCAACATGGCTCAGAACCTGGCCAAACTTACAACAGTGAATTACATATATCATATTTGTATGGCATTATCATTAACATGCTTATGTTGCATTGGATTTGCATCATGCTTGAGTTGTTTGCATGCTTGCTTGCATGCCTAGGTTGCATAGCATTAAGCATGCATCCCTTGCCTCTTGATCAAGCATGATAGAGG